AAATTTCCTCTAAAGTTTAGAATGCTAGATGCATAAGGTCATTTTATATTGCCACTCAATGGTGTGTAAGCAATATTAAGAATAATATAAAGCTAATGTGGAACATCCCTAGCATCTACTATTATGTTTAAAGTTTTCTTAATATTTCTGTGAACCATAATTGCATCATAGCAATATATGATATCTAACAGTATGCGTAAATGATCTCCAAGCTCAAATTTAATTGTGGCCTTAAGTTTAGCATAAGAAAATAGTAATTTATAAATAAAATACATATTTAATTGAGTAATTTATAGTGATTTTTACATATGTCCCATACATTGAGTAATTTATAGTGATTTTTACATATGTCCCATTTTAACTATGCATGCCACTGTATTTTTCTTTTTAAAGTTAAAATAAGGTTGTTTTTAATGTGACAGCCTGACAGGAAAAAGTTGGAGGTCATAAATGCAAAAATGTAAAATTCAGATCTTAGCTATGTAAATAAGTGGAAATTAGGTGGGATATAAGTAAATGCCCTTTTTTTATTTGATATGAGAGTATGCTGAGAAATGCAATATTCATACAACTTTGCTAAAGATTTTTTCAAACTTTATTATCATTATTTAGATATTCCTTCAAAGTTAGACGGATGATAGACCAGGAATCGTCACAAGTCTTAAGTTGTCGTCTTGTAGCTCTGCTTCCTCTTGTATTCCTTCTCCTGCCATTTGGTATGTCTTTTATATTAAGTCAACACATTCGTTTTTGTTTTGCTCCACTATTTACTAAAGGCCGACTAGGCACAATTTGAATTTTTATGTTTATTTTTACTTTTAATTTTTTTTATTAAAAATATGCTTGACTGATATAATCTTAATGTATCTATATATTTTTTAATTTTATAGATAAATCTACTTATTTTTAAAAAAATTCAAACTATATAAAAAATATTTTTAGTATTTTTTAAGATAAATTTCACAAATAAGTATAATTTAATTTGAATCAAAACATACATAAAATAAAAAATTAAATAAAAATGGTCCTAAAGGGCCCCTAGACTTGCATAATGTTCTGATGTTTGGCCAAAATTTGTAAGTTACTATTGATTGTTGGTAGGGCAAATATGATTCTGGCAGTAATTTGGCCTTCTCTACTTCAAAGCTAAAAAGAGATGAAATTTCAAGATATCTAAGAAACTCATACTGTACATTTCATTATTTCCTTTTAGATCTACTTTCATACATAGCATTCAATTTCTATAAATTTACACATCTAACATCTAAATTCTATGTTTTGCATTGATAATGTCCAAATCTTTCATATCACATCAATATTTATACTTTTAGAAGGTGACATACACCAATCTATGCATAGATAAAGTGCTATAAATATAAAAATAAAAATGTAAATATTAGATAAGTGAGTATATAAGAAATGACTGGTATGTGTGTTGAATCCAAATCTGTATCGAAAAATGTGCCCAAGAAACAAGGAAAAGAGATTAAGAGAGTGAGAAAGAGAGAGATAGGAAAAGAAGAAGAGGAAAAGGGGGAATCGGGGTGATCCCGGGCTCATGGACCCATTCCAGAAAAATTGAGGTTACAAGTGGAAGGAGCCCAAAAGCCATTTACATGAAATGATCATTATCTTTATAGATGATAAAAGATTCAAAAAGCAAATTACAATACTACACTTATTTTAAAAGAGTGATACATAATATTTTAGGATTTTATATTGGTGTGTTCGGCTGGGTACCTCATCGACTGCTAGATCTGTCATTCTGTGAATTTTCTATTGGGGGGAGAAGTCGAGTTTCGGTGGCTGATCTGAGGGAATGCAAATCATTCTTCCATGTGTAAATCTTCATTCATTTAAAATAGGCTTATAAAATAGTATTAAATTTAGTAGATTTTGGCTTTGAGCTATCGCGTATTAATCGTGAATGAAGTATAAACACCTGGCATTTTTTTTTCTCTAATTCATTGATATATATATATATATGCC